AAGGGGTTACACTCAATCACCTGGCTTGGATTATACTGAAACCTATAGCTCAGTCATTAAACCAACTACAATAAGAATTCTTCTTTCTTTAGCAATCACTCATGGCTGGGATATTAAACAAGTTGATGTGGGTAATGCCTTCTTATATGGAGATATTGATAGTGAAATCTACATGACTCCACCACCTGGTTTCACCTTTAGCAGCAACAACAACCTTGTTTGCAAACTCAAAAAGTCCTTGTATGGCCTTAAACAGGCTTCAAGAGCCTGGTCCAGCAAATTTGCTTCTACACTTATCTCTCTTGGTTTTTGCTCTTCAAAAGTTGATTCTTCTCTTTATTTTAAACACTCCTCTCAGTCCAGCTTATTCATAATGGTGTATGTTGATGACATTATCATCACTGGAAGCTCTACACAGGAAATCAACAATTTAATCTCTCAGCTGCAAACTCACTTTTCTTTAACAGATCTAGGCAGATTGAGTTATTTCCTTGGCATTCAAGTCATCTATAAGTCTGGTTGTCTCCATCTCAATCAAGCTGCTTATATTGATGGTATTTTGAAGAGGGCTGGCATGCAGGGGGCAAAAGGAGTGAGTTCTCATATGGTTGCAACACCAGCCCTATCAAAACATCTTGGTAATCCTCTTGAAGATGCTCACCTTTACAGAAGAATTGTTGGAGCACTACAATATCTTACTATGACAAGACCAGACATAAATTTTGCTGCCAACAAGGTTAGTCAATTTATGCAAACTCCATTTGACACACACTGGAAGGCTGTAAAAAGAATTCTAAGGTATGTGGCAGACACCAAACATTTTAGCTTCAAGTTATCTCCTTGTACAAATCTTAACATCATTGGATTTGCTGATGCTGACTGGGCATCAGATGTGGATGACAGAAGATCCACATCAGGATTTTGTACATTTATGGGGCAGAATCTCATTTCTTGGAGTTCCAAGAAACAAACTACAGTGTCAAGATCCTCCACAGAGGCAGAGTACAGAAGCTTGGCTCATGCAGTTTGTGAGATAATGTGGATAAAATCATTGCTGCAAGAATTGAGAATCAAGAACAACAGGCCAAGTGTGGTTTGGGTAGACAACTTAGGTGCTGTTCATTTAGCTGCTAATCCTATTGGACATTCTAGGACTAAGCATATTGAGTTAGATCTGCATTTCTTGAGGGAAAAGATCATGAAGGGCATTATATCAGTAAGGCATGTACCAGCCATTGATCAAGTGAGTGATATTTTGACCAAACCTTTGAGTGGTCAATTCTTCACAAGGCTTCGAGCTAAACTTAGTGTTGATTCTCAGCCATTGCTTGAATTGAGGGGGCATATTAAGGAAGCAAGATGTTTAAACCATTTGGAACGGTCAAAGATGTCCAAGCTGGCCAGAAAATGGGACCATGCAGATGGAAAGCTGCCCATGCAAGTTGTCTCCTCTAATGAGGCAAATCTCACTTGATATTAGGGTTTCCTTAGTATGTTAGTAGAGAACCGTTGGATTGTTGACACATGTCAAAACCACACACTCACATGATTATTATATACTCGGTTGTCTTCCCCATGTAGCTGTAGTATCAAGCAACATCAATGAAAAAGCAGATTTGAGAATTTTAAAACGAGAATGGATATTTCTTCCTTTATCATGCATTGCTTATTTTTGTCTATTTTGATGATAAGCTTTTAGAAACCGGAAGGTACTTGTACAAAAAAAAAAAAAATATTTTAAGTTATCCTTATTACAAAATATTATTTTAAATGAATTGTTATCGATTGCACCGCATAATTAACTAAATCCAAATTATCCCTGAACTATTACTATTTTTCTTACCATAGCCCATTCTAATGCACTGCATATATAAAATTATCATAATCAAACAGTAATATATTCTAATGAATATTTCAAGGAGTATTTTACTGTTACACTTTCTGTTAGAATGATTTATTTATCAAATTTTAATTAGAATTTGATGATTTCAACAATTATTTTTTTCAACGGTTTATTCCATAGGAATTTCCATTCGAATATGCAATTTCAATTGAAAATTTGATTCTCCCACCACAGTTGGGAAATCAACTTTTGGAATTTTCATAATGCAATGGAAATTATAATGAAATCTCACTCTAACAGAATATTCTCACTAGAATTTTTATTGTAATCTATTGAAAAATTTCAATGAAAATAAATCGTGAGGATTAGTCCCACACCAAGTTTGTGAATCAGAATCAGTGATTGTCTTAGAACCCCGTTTTCACGGTTTAGGCTGCTCTCATTTCGCTCGCCGCTACTACGGGAATCACTTTTGTTTTGTTTTTTTTCCTCTGGCTACTTAGATGTTTCAGTTCGCCAGGTTGTCTCTTGAGTTGAAATATATATTTATTGAAATTACCGTTGGAATTTAATTGAAGATATTTATGTTAATATTTTATCAAGTTTTTTTTGGAGTTATATAATTTTCAACACTATATATTGACAATATATACATCTGTTACTATTACTATACAATCCGAATATAGATATTGTCATCTTGTATATCCAATAATATTCATATTGTGGCAATGTTTGACAATGCATATGCCTTGATTTTATATAAAGGATATTTAGATTTAACTTGAGATTGCTTACTCTGAAAATCAGAAAATTAAGACATGACCATAATCAGGATAAGGTTTGTTATTTTAACAATACTTATTAATTAAAAAAAAAAAAATGACCTCAAAATAACTGGGAAGATACATAATCCATCTACCCCAAGACAGGCACAAAATGAGAAAAAAATAAAAATAATTAAATCCACTAATACGACTACAAACGCTTCTACTAGTATAAAGTATTTTATATTGTCTACTAATATAAAGTATTTTATACTGTATGTGAATATTAGAGAGATGTTACGGTTCCGTCATGGGCGAAACTATGTTGGCACCCGGAGAGGCGCCGGCCCTCCCGAAAAAAAAAAAAAATCGAACTAAGGTTGGAAGATTTTGCTGGAACTGGAAGATTTTCTTTTGAGCGCGCATGTTGGGTCCTCCCCGATTTCATGCGGTACATACATGGCCGGAGGGCGCCAACGGTTTTTTCGTGATTTTATTTTTAAGGCAAATTGGGCCTCCCCAAAACGGGATCCTGGGGACAAGGATAACTATAACAGCAGCAGAATTTAATATTTTTTTCATTTTTATTATATTTTTAATTAGTCGACTTGCGGTGTACCGACATGACTCAAAAACTGAGTCGATCATTACCAAAAAATACTTTTATGAAAGTACGAGAAGCGGAGAGTGCGTTGGTGACATCGATTTATGATTTTGGAGTCCAGACCATTTATTTTGGGTAGCCCGAAGTTGAGAGAAAAATGGCAGTATGGTGATTTTATTGTTATTGTCATGTCTAGACTTCGGGTAACCGTCGGTCCTCGTTAGGCGTGCTGAAAATTAGCGGGAGTGCTTTGTTGAAAGCACGAGAACAGTAGAAGTCGTTCGTAAGATTTATTTCACGTTTTGAAGTTTCGAGCATTTATTTTGAGAAGCTCGAAGTTGAGTGCACATAATATAAGAATAAAAAATCGTTTTGCGGGGTTCCGTAAGGTTGCGTGTGACCTCGGTTTAACGAGAATCGAGTTGGAATGTGTGGACAATTCAAGCACGATTCCATACGGACAAATTTCGTATTTTTTGGAGTTTCGAGCATTTATTATGGGAGTTTGAACTTCTACATTAAATAGTATCAAAAGAAGCAAATTTGTCGAGGACGAGTTCGATCGTTCGAGGCTTCGTTTCCTCAAATTTTTCAGCTTTTTGTCTATTCGAAAAAAGGTATAATTCTTAATTATTATTATAATTGAGTCCGAGATTTTTATTAGTATAAATTCAAGTATTTTTCGAGTTAAAACAATTCAGTTTAAGTACACCAGTTTAATTCCGGATTTAGTTTGATTTTCAGAAAAATCTCTAGAGTATTCATTTATATCCTGTGAAATTTTTCAGAAAATCCAGAAAAGCCCTTTGAGCGCCTTCCGATGTCAGAGTGGGGGTGGTGCGCCGCGGCAAATTGGGCCTTCCCCGGGATGACTGGCTGGTTTCGCCACTGGGTCCCATTACAGAATTATTTTGTGGGAGTTTATAACTACTAGATCAACTATCTCTGACGATTACATGATGATCGTTAGATTACAAACCCAGACGAAATGGTTCCAAGACCGTAGCATTTACCTATTATTATATTCAAATAGAAAAATAGTTGCACAGATTGGATTGGACATCTTTGTATGTGTGAACTCATGTGTGAACTCATAATTGCTGCAAGAAAAAAAAACCAAACCACCTATAAAAAAAAAAACCATCTTATATTAAATAAATATTTTTTATTATAACTAATTATTAATTAGTCCCAATTCTTTTAGTATTTGTTGCGTATAGACCATAAAACTCTTATTAATTTCTAATTTTATACCCCAAAAGTCAGCTGACTATCCTTTTCCTCTCCGATCCTTCTCTCTCTCCAAAACCAAAACCCCATTTTAATAATTTACATCTCAAATTCCACAAACCCTTTTGTTAAAAACAAACAAAAGATACCAAACAGGAGTTCGCTCAAGTGGTAAGCAGTCTGATATCGCTTAAATAAGGTCTCAGGTTCGAGTCTTTGTGAATGCAGAAACTCGTGTTGATAGACTCACCCATCATTGCCAGGTGTGCGACTCGAGTCGACCAGCGGATTAGTCGGGGCAACAGATACTGTGGCTGGCTAAAAAAAAAAAAGACAAAAGATCAAATCTTTATAAAAAAAATAAAAATAAAAAAGGAAATAAAAACCCTTATTTTATTATAGAACGTAATTGCCCTAATCAAGAAAAACCTAACACAAAGCTGCATGCTGTCCACTTTTTGTTCGGTCCTAAAAATAAAAAAGAAACCCTCCCAATACCAAAGTCAAATGAAACAGCAGATTCTCATCATCTAAAATTATGCCAAAGAGGAGAATAACAATGGAAAACAACACACGAGGCGATTTGTCGGACATCGTTCGAGCCGCTGCCCTCGACTGGCCGTTACCTCCGGCCGGCGCGGGCGACCCGATCGGCTGCCCGGCGGACCGAGACTTCGGTGACCCGTTTAGCTTAACGGGAGACCCCCTTCTCCATAACCTAGATCCCGAGCCTCCGGTTTCATCAGGGTTCTTTTATGGTTCGGGTGCCGTGGATCGGGTGGTGAATACGCCGCCGGGTAATATTTTCTCGAAGATGTTGCAGATTTCTCCGAGCGACGCGAAGCTGCCATGTGTCCCGGCCGGGGTTTTGAAAGCTCCAGCTCCGATTTTGGTGTCTAATAATAATAATAAAAGTAGTAGCAGCAGAAGTAATAATAATAATAATAGTCGTGATGGTGGTTTGATTTCTTCTCCGGCGAGTGGTGTGCAGATCTCGTCTCCGGTGAGAAATACGGGGATCAAAAGAAGGTGAGTTTTTGTAGTTATTTATTTATTTATATATATATATTTTTTTTCACATGAAATTATCATTAATATTATTAACAAGGTTTCAATAATTCGATCGATCAGACGCGCCGCGGTCTGGTCTGACCGTTAGGTAGATTGACTCGTCGTACTTTTTGACAAAAAATGCGTTCATATATTATCATGAAATATCAAATACCATGATTTTAGTTATAGTATGACGGTCTAATCGTTTGTGTTATAACATTAGGGTTTTGTGGAAAATTTTTATAATTTTTTTCATGGTTTATTTCTCCAAGATTTTATTTATGTGTGAGTGTGTTTTAATTTGGATACGTTAGTTTTGTTTTACTTAATTTAAGTGGTGTGAATTTGTGTAGACTGTAGACTTTCCTTTTGAAGCTTATATTGGGAGATTCTGCGTTCATGTTACGGAATCATTCGATCGGAATTTGTAACCGTTATGTCAACTATTCACGGCTACGGCAGTTACATGATGATTTAACGGTTACAAATCCCGACGAAATGGTTCCGTAAGGGACGGTAGCATTTCCCACTATTTTGATTTGCATAGGAAGTACTGTTTGGGTGAAACGCACCACACCCCATTTTCTGTGGTCTTATGTGTTGAGCCTTTCAAATCTTCCGCCACTTTAGGCTTTTCTTTTCTGAGGAAAAAAAAAAAAGAAGAAAAAAAGGAAACTATTATCTGGCAGTAAGTTCTGAACACACTGAAAAACAGATCTGCTGCCTCATGCTTTGAAGTGCACAATTATAATTAATGCATATATATATGGAGATTCTACATTTACAGAAGTATTTCGTCGGGGTTTGTAACCGTTAGATCAACTGTCCACGACGACTACGTGATGATCTAACGGTTACAAATATTATTAATTGAAAAAAAACGGGCTATTTAAATTCATGGCTTGATTGAAAAAAAAAAAACTAAAATTTATTAAAAATAAATGAATTCAGGAAATGTCAGGCGAAGAAAGTGGTGTGTATACCGGCGCCGGCGCCGGCGAACAGTAGGGCGAGCGGAGAAGTTGTGCCGTCGGATCTTTGGGCCTGGAGAAAGTACGGTCAGAAGCCCATCAAAGGCTCCCCTTATCCCAGGTAATTTTAATTGGGCAATGCTATATGTACACCCCCTTTTAATAAATTACACAAAAAAAAGTGCTATATGTACACCCCTTTTTTACACTTGAGGGGTGTACATATAGACACCCCCTTTTAATTTTTAATATATTTATTTATTATTTTTTTTTCTGGCGTTGAAAATCACGAATTTTTACTATGTTGACTTTTTCGGTTTGAAACATGGAATTCCACTCCACATTTTTTTTTTTTTAATTTTCAAAATTAAGAACTTGCACATTATTATTTTTTATAACTACTGATGAAGAGATATTCATATTCTCTATAATTAAGTATGACCATATCTTATTAATTATTATATCATATAATATTTATTGCAAAAAAAATAAAAATCAACTAATTATATTTCACATTTAATGATATATAGAAGTTACACAAATATAATATAATATAATCATAATCATACTAATAATAATAATAATAATAATAATAATAATAATAATAATAATAATAATAATAAAATATTAATAATATTTTAGTATTTAGCTACCTAATTGATCATGACACCTCAAAGGTACAAAACTTACATAATTTGTTACATTTTATGAAACTGAAAATAATAATTTTATTTGTAGTTAAATAGTTTATATTATACTATTCATTTACTAATGGTCAAACTTGTAAAATAATATATGTCCATTACTAATTTATAATTTGTTATATTATCTACATATATAAATATAATTTATAACACTTCATTTACTTGATAATATACAAAAATAATTTATAACACTTTATTTACACTCGTGCACGTGCTCAGGATTTATGCTAATACGAAAAAATGTTACATTAAATTGTTCGTATATATTGAATACTGGTTACCGTATGTGTATCACATTTCATGAATTTGGATTCCCTGTAAATGGTTATCAAAGAGAGAAATGGAGAAAAGATAAAATATGACCGTATAAATCAATAAAGTATAAATAACGAAATTAATTAACAAAAATAAGTATGTATCATTTACATGTTTATACAAATTTGAAATTCATAAAAAAAATATATATATATGTTGTACACTTGTGTTGACTTACAATGTAGTTTATGTTTCCCACAATCTTGTTTCAATGAAATATGGACTATGTTTAGTAAAAATAGCTTATAGTTTATCATTAATTTTCGAGCTTATAGCTTATAGTTTATATCTTATGATGTGTAATTAAAAAAACTAGCTGATATTATAAAAGTGTTTGATAAAATTTGTTGATAAGCTAGTTGAAATAAAAATTAAAACGAGTTTTTACAAAACTACTTAAAAAAGTTTATGAGATAAGCTCGAGTTTTTTTAAAAAACATCATCTTAAAACTTTTTAAATATAAAAACTTTATAAACTAATCAAATAAGTTATAAGCTAGCTTATTTATCTATCAAACATAACAAAAAAAACTAAGACAAATTCCATCTTTTGCAATGAGAACTTCACTGGATGGGAAATTGCAGCTTTGGTTCATTAATTTAAGGTGTTTTTATTTTTTCTAGTAACTTATTGTGTTTCAAAAATAGTCCATTAACTTTCCAATTTTAGTCAATTTGGTCCAATTGTGAACCCCAAAACCTAAAATCCGACTATTTAGCTCCAAAAATTGGTCCAGTAACTCTTAAATTTTAAATTTATTAGACCAAATTGACTAAAATTTAAGAGTTATTGACCAATTTTAGACCGCAATAAGTTATTGGACGAAAATAATAAGAAATTAGAGGATTAAAACTGCAATTTTTCAAAACCAACATAATGTCTCCAATATAGATTATACCAATACATGCATTTTTTTGAAATTTAATCATGATTAATCAGAATGTAGCCTTCTTTCTTATACTTTTATCTATAATGTTCTTATTTACATAAATGCCTTCATATATAGAATAAGTTTTTTCTGTTAGACCGACTTAACCATTAGATGAACACACACACGGAATTATGCAGGGGCTACTACAGATGCAGCAGCTCGAAGGGTTGCTCGGCCCGTAAACAAGTCGAGCGTAGTCGAACCGACCCGAACATGCTCGTCATCACCTACACTTCCGAGCACAACCACCCGTGGCCCACCCAACGAAACGCCCTCGCCGGATCCACCCGATCCCAACCGCTCTCCAAAACCACCGCCGGCACCAAGCCCGTGGGCCCCACGCAATCGGACCCCCCAAAGGAACCCGACACGTCAGCAGATGACCCAATAACCCACGCGAAAGTCGAGACGCCGCCTCCGCCGCTGCCCGACGAGCCCGAATTTTTCGACGACGGGTTCCTATCGGAGGCCGGGGCGCTCGCGCTGCTGCCCGAGGACAGCTTTTTCGCGGACTTGGGGGAGATCGAGGCCGAGCCGCTAGACGAGCTTTTCGCGAGCGGGTTCGGCGGCCCGGGGACCGAGGATTTGGACACGTTCGGATTTTACGATTGGGCGGCGGAGGACAACGGCGGTGATGATGTGGCACCGGCGGCCCGCGGTGGTGGTGATTTGGGTAATTCTTGAAATGATTCTTGAATTATACTAACATATATATATTTTTATATATATACTATATATTTTTTTTCTTCAATTTGAATGAGGAAAAAAAAAAGGGAAAATGAAAAGGGCCACCCTGTACAGTTGTTGTGTCATTTTGTTGTGGTTAGGCCATCATGCATGGGGAAATTAATTATTTTCACTTGACTATATGTTCTTTATTATTATTTTTTTTCAATTCATTTTGTTGGGGGAAAATTTCAAAATTTATGCATAATTTGATGTGTACTTTATTGAGATATTTGAACAATTAAATTAAAAGAGATATTGGTGGTGGGGGCATAATAATAATAATCATAATAATAATAATAATAATAATAATAATAATAATAATAATAATAATAATAATAATAATAATAATAATAATAATAATAATATTCAGTGAAAGGCCTTCACTTTTGGAATATATTGTTGGATGGGACTGAAAGCTGAGGAAACAGAAGGTTTCAACAGTTAGAATTTTGAGTGAATATACATAACAAAAAAAAAAATAAAATAAAATAAAAGATTGAGAAAGAGAGGAAAAAGAGAGAACATTTATTTATTTATTTATTTATTTATTATCAGTGTAACCAGACATGATTGAAGAGGATAGATCAATGATGTTCGATGGGACTTGCACTTATATTTATCCCAAGTGGGAGTTCAATTGTTTGTCAAAATTTGGGCCCTTTTTTTTTGTTTATCTTTGTACGGCCGAGTTTCCAAATTTTAGGTGAAGTACTATGTAATGTATGAGAAATGTTAGGTTCTCGTTACGAAATCATTCCGTCGAAGTTTGTAGTCGTTAGATCTTCTATCCTTGACGGTTACTGGATGATCTAATGCAGGGACGGCTCTAGAAACTAAGAGTAGTTTGGACTAGAATTTTAAAAACCCATTTCAATAAAAATCACATAATATTTTTTCCTCAAATATTCATTGGAGTTGTGCTCGCGACTCGCGAGCTTTTACAAAGAAAATTTATTATGCTCATTTTGCACTGCATTTTATGTGTTTTCACTAGTTTAATGTTGATCTCGTTTTCTAAAGAACGATGATATTAAGTGGAGTGTTTCCTTTCTTGGCCGAATGTTGGTGCTTCATGTGAATTTCTAAAATTTCACAATACAAATAATGATATTCTATCGTTATTAGCAAAATAAAATGGTTACACATCAATTTAAATATGATATACAACAACCACACTAGAGGATAAGAGATTAAAAAAAACACACACACACACACACAATTACTACTTCATAAACAATCAACAAAACAAAAATTGTAACTAAATGATCCTAGCAGTTACTATTAAAACTCAAATAATACATTTAAAATGAGAAGAAGATAAAAACAATTAGACAAATGAAACAAATATATAATAGAGAGTTCAAAAATATAACTTACTATTAAATAAGAAATTAGATCGTCTTTTTGAAGATAGACTCTTTCTCGTTAAATAGTTTTTTATTTGCTTTTTTTTCATCTAAATTCGTTGTTTGGTGTTCAATGGACGGACATGGTGGTAGCTAATTTATTTGATTGAAGTTTAGGGTATAGTGATATTTTGTGGGTTTGTGCCTTGTGGAAAAGGTGGATAAAAATTATATAATATTTTATTAGAATGATGTTTCACTACAAAACAATTGTTATATTCCAACAGAAAATCCTATGGTAATATATTCCAATGGAAATTCCAACGGATATTCCAATGGTATAGCTTCCGTTGGAATGGTTCCAACGGAAATATTCCGTTGGAATGTGTTTTTCATTGGAATTTTAGATGGAATTTGATGATTTCAACGGCTATATTTCTAACGGTTTTTTACTGTAGGAATTTCCGTTGGAATATGCAAATTCCGTTGGAATTTTTATTTCCACTCCCGTTGGAAAATCCACCGTTGGAATTGTCAAAATCCAACGGAAATTCCAATGGAAAACTCATTCCAGCGGAATATTTTTGTTGGAATTTCCGTTGGAATCCATTGAAAAATTCCAACGGAAATAATAGTATTGAAATATCCGTTGGAATTGTCGTTGGAATAATTCTTTTGAAAAGATTTCCGTCGAAATTTTATCATTTTCATGTAGTGTTTGTAGTAAGTGAATTATTTCAATGGGTTAGTGAGTTAGTTTATTGGGCTGAGCTGAAATACAATATATATATTTTCTTAAAACTTATAATAATAATAATTGTTTAAAACAAGAAATAAGGCCTGGGCTTGACCCAGCCCAGGCCATTTATACATTCGTCATTGATTTAACGATTTCGAATCTCGACAAAATGGTTCCATAAGGACCATAACAATATCTAGCATTTGCATGTATGTTAATTAGTAGTCAAGTCAAAGTGTGTTTGTAACTGTGATAAAACATGGGGGGTTTTGAGAGGAGATGTATCAAACTCATCTCCTATATATAATTGGCCCTACTTTTGATTGATTGATTGATGTATTTGGATTTCGTGATATGATTATTCGTTTTCAATTAATTGTGTAAGTGACATTTTCTTGTTTTGTAACTTTTGTTCATGGTCATAATTAAAATGGCTGAATTCTCATACTTTAAAAAAAAAATAAAAATGTAAAGATACTATGAAATGTTAAAACTGTTTATATTTATATAATAAAATGTTATATTGTTTACATTAATATTTTGTTCATTTGAACAAAATAGCAGGTTTGTATATATTATGGTATATATATTTATCACTACAAAAAAGTTTTCATATTGTAACGGAAAACACAATGGCAATATATTCAACGAGAATTTCAGTGGATATTTCAACGGTATAGATTCCAGTAATATAATTGCAACCGAAATTTAATTGAAAATACTCAATTGAATGAGTTTTCATCGAAATATTAGTTGGAATTTAATAATTTCAACGACCATTTTTTCACCTGTTAATTATGTAGCTGAACATGAATTTAATCTTTAGAGGAAATTTTGCAGTGTATATTTATTTTCAGCTTCTCAAGTTAGGTCACTTGCTAAAAAAATGTTATAAAGCACACATTTATAATGGGCTGTCTGAAGCCCAAATAGCAATAAGTCATCTGGGTATAAAATGTACCAAACCAGTGGAGTCCTAGGCCCATTCCGTTATCAATAGCAAACTCCTATTATCACTATTATAACCATGCAACTTCATTTTTACCTCGTCAAAGCAAGTCCGCCACCAATACTTGGTTAAAAATCTGAACTTGTTTTTAGCTGTAAGCCTGTAATTGCATAATCCATAAAATAGTTCAGATATATACCAAACAAGTGGAGATGCTACGGTCTCGTCACGGAATTATTCCGTTAAGATTTGTAACTGTTAGATCATCATGTAACCGTCGGGGATAGTTGATCTAACGGTTACAAACTCTGACGGAATGATTACGTGACGGAATCGTAGCATTTTCCCCAAACAAGAAACAACGAAAGGGTACCAAAAAAATAAGTTGCAAGCATATAGCTTAAACACCAAAATGCATAACTAATGAATAAAATTATGAAGCACCAAAACTTGATACATGAAATTACAAAAACTTATACATTACACCAGAACTTGATTTTTGAAAAAAAAAAATCATGAAATTAAAATAAATAAGACATAGAATGAAGAAGCACCAATGAGTGATTTGTGATTTGGATACTCTATATTCTAATTCAAGGAGATGCTATAGTCTTGTTACGGAACCATTTCATCAAGGTTTGTAATCATTAGATCATCATGTAACCTATCTTTAATTTAACGGTTACAAATTTCGACAGAATAGATTCGTAATGGGACCCTATCTGTTGGGTTTTGCTCTTTGTCCCACATCGATTGTGGAATGAAAGAGAGGGAGATTTTTCTCCTATATAAGAAAGTGCTACTCCTTATGTAAAATCATCACACAGAGTTATTGTGTTAACAATTAATCTATGGTAAAAAATTTCTCAGGGTAAAAATTCCTTAGGGTGAGAGTTAGGGTTAACGAGTAGAAAAATTCTGTGGGGTAATTTTGGGTAAGTGAGTGGTAGAAAAATTGTGTAATTTTTTTTTTTACATAGTGGATTTTCTACGGTCTTGTTGCCCTGGTGGTTTTTCCCTCTTCGTTAACAGAGGGTTTTCCACGTTAAATTTTGTGTTCTCCAGTTTTATCATTTTCAGAGGATCTTGGGCGGAGTTTCGGTGTGGTTGGAATTCCCAACAAGTGGTATCAGAGCGAGGTTAGCCTAGTTGGTATTCTGAGTATGCTCTGTGGTTGCAGTTTTGTCTGATCTTCCACATCAGAAAAGATACCAAAGAGGTCTCTTCGTGCGGTGGAGCCAGTGACGGGTGGAGCTTGTGTGCAAAGGAGTTTTTTGGGCAGTGGGGAATAATTACTGTGTAAGTAGGTTCTGTCTAGGAGACTGGTTTTTTAAGTGGGACCGTTGTGACCCCACCAGCCTTTCCTGGGAGCTTACTTAGAAGGGTAATTCTTTAGGGGGCAGGTCGCTATCCTCCCTGAGAATTTATTTGATCAGTACTATTAAAGGTTGCTGCTCGGTTTTCTGCGAAGTTAGTGTTCACTGATTCACGAAGATGTCTGGAAATAAGATATCGAATCTGGCGATATTTGATGTGGAGAGCGACGGAAAAATCAACTTTGGCTTGTGGCAAGTGCAAGTGAAGGACGTGCTGATTCAGTCGGGGTTACACAAAGCTTTGAAGGGCTCGGAAATTCCCAAAGGCAGTGCTACCAGCAGCACTGAAGAAAAAGCTGGTGTGAGCAAATCTGGAATGAGCGATGAAGATTGGGAGGAACTGGATTTGAGAGCGGCAAGCGCGATACGACTGTGTCTGGCCAAGAATGTTCTTGCTAATGTGCATGGAATTTCGACGGCAAAAGCATTATGGGACAAGCTTGAGGAGTTGTATCAGGCTAAAGGCGTCTCAAATCGGGTGTATCTGAAGGAGCAGTTTCACACACTGCGAATGACTGAAGATCAAAGCATCTCAGACCACTTAAGCGTTCTCAATGGGATCGTCTCGGAGCTGGAATCTATTGGAGTGAAGATTGATGACGAGGATCAGGCGTTGAGACTCATCTGGTCTCTTCCAACTTCTTATGAACACATGAAGCCGATCTTGATTCATGGGAAGGAGAAAATTATATTTTCTGAAGTCACTGGTAAACTTCTTGCGGAAGAGAGAAGGCTAGACGGTGGACGAAACAATTCACCGGAAGGTCAAGTCATGCTCGTCGGTGACGGAAAGAAGAGGAACTCCAGGAAGAAGCAAGTTGTGATTTGCTGGACGTGTGGACAATCTGGGCACGTGAAAAGAAATTGTCCGAAAGGAGGAGCAGGTTCAGCAAAAGGCTCCAAGTCGGTAAGTGGAGATACCGAAGAAGCTAATTTTGTCTCTCTCTCCATGGA